ATATAGTTGCTGTGGATATGAAATGATGATAACTCACCTCCAATAATAGATACCGGTCCCTGAATTATCAAATTTGCCAGAGAGCTGTCAGAGAACACTATTCCCTTTATGATTCCAAAAAAAGCAACAGAGAAGGCGTCGTCGATTCCAGAAACTGCAATAATGAGAGAAGGAATCCCTTTGGCAACACCATACCCCTTGATCCTGAGCCTGAATAGGCAAGGAACTACAACTGCTGGTGAAACTGCAGAAACGATAGATCCTGTAAAGTAATAATTAGAACAGTGAAAGTGATCAATGATTTTCGCATAATTTGAATATCATAATGTTCGTTTGTCATCAAAACAATTTTCTCTCTTTCCTCTCTTGTAAGATCCTGAAAGGTAGTTTCCATGCCAATTCCAATAATATGGTATAACTAATTTTACATCAGCTATTATTGTTTCTTACAATTTTTTTTACATTCATTCATTTATTTATATACGGCATCGCAAAATAATTAACAGATTCACATATACAGTGTCGATTCACATATACAGTGTCACCATTAAAGTGCGCACCATTAAAGTGGGAAACTATTTTTTCGAAAAGTTTCAATGAAGTTTAACTTCGGCACTTGTTTGTGCTTCAAATTCAACTCAAAATGATGCGGCCAACTGACGTTCAGTGTTTGTCAAATTCAACTTTTTTTTTAATTGTAAAAGTACATTTCTAGATCGAATTTAACAAAAAGTTACTTGAAAAAGTTGTGTCTACGGCACTTTTATATCCAAATGCCAAATTTTATGCAACTAAGATGAAGTTAATGTTTTGCTTATTTTTGACAGAAATACTTTATTTTAAAAAACAAGTTCGGTTAATTGTCATCAATTCATGTATACATAACAAACTCATCATGGAGTTCAACTTTGCTGATACATTTTTACTTATACCTACGGACATTTTTAGAGAGAAATTAAAAATTTTCTATAAAAATTTTAACATGACTGGTGCAAAGTTTCAATCTCTTGGCTATTTTCTTAAACAAACGTCAGTACCTTCAATTTTGAAAAAGCAGACACAACTCAAAAA